GAAAAGATAATGAGTTTATACTAATTGGAGATGGAGGTGTAGATTTATTTGGAAATTTTGGAACAATGAATTATATATTAGTTCAAAATGGTATTGAAGCTAATGTAACTAAAACATACATTAGAAAAGATAATGAGTTTATACTAATTGGAGATGGAGGTGTAGATTTATTTGGAAATTTTGGAACAATGAATTATATATTAGTTCAAAATGGTATTGAAGCTAATGTAACTAAAACATACATTAGAAAAGATAATGAGTTTATACTAATTGGAGATGGAGGTGTAGATTTATTTGGAAATTTTGGAACAATGAATTATATAATTCAAGCAAAATATAGAACTAAGCCTGATGACAAAGAAGCATATGTTAGTCCTAAAGATATTAGAGAATTTTCAGCAGTTTTGATGAAGCAACCTAAAGATACTGTAGGATTTTTTGTATCGAATGCTAAATATTCAAATAGAGCTGAAAATGCTGCAACAAATTCAAAACTAAATCTCATATTATGTAATAAAGAAAATATTATTGAAAAAATCAAAGAAGCTCAATTGAAATTTGAAAATTCTTTAAATGAAGAAATTGTCATTGAAAATGTAACTACTGATGAGAAAACAGATACTGATATATTTGGTATTAAAATTAGTGGTTGTATCAGAATTGGTCGAATATATTCTAAAAATAGTAGAAAAAAAAACAATCCATATTGACTATATTTTATTTTAAATATTTATAATCTATCTAGTGAATTTTTCACCAGATAGATTTTTTCAAATACAATCTCAAGATATCTAATGAGAAATTTTGTTCTGATTGTAAAACAAAAAAAAGAAGTTATATCAAAATTGAAAATATTGAAGATGAAGCAGAAAATATTATTCTTCAAGAAGAACTTGAAAATAATTATCATAAAATTGAACGAGAATTAATTAGTGAAAAATGGTTTATAGATTTAGTGGAAGAGAAAGTGAGAAACAACTTAAGACAAAAGTATCCTGATATTTTATTTGAAAATAACAGGATTAGTATTAAAAAAAGAAAAAAGAATAATATAAAAAAAATAGTTCTTACTGGAACTATTGGAGCAGGAAAAACAACTCTTTCTTCATTTATGTCTAAATATTTTGAGAAAAAAGGATTGAAAGTATTTATTCCAGAAGAGATTTCACTTAAGATCAAAGAGGATTTAGATCTTTTCTGTAAAGATAAAAAGAAATACGCATTCTTTTTTCAAGATTTGATTATTGATACATACAGAAAGATGATGGAAAATATTGACTCTGCAACTGATGATTATGATATAATCATTTTTGATCGAACTTATCTTGATACAGAAGTTTTCAATAATATTAATTCTGATAATGATCTGAAATTATTTTACTTGAAAACAAAATGTGAAATGATTGATTCATATGATTTTGATTATGTGTTTTACGTCAAGAGTTCTGAAGATACTTCGATTAAAAGACAGAAGGAAAGAAACAGAGAAGGAGAAACATATACAGAAGAGTATATGCGAAAAGTTTATAGAGAATACGAAAGAATTATCAGTAAAATATATCCTAAACATATTGTATTTAATACAGAGGAAGATGTATATATGAAGGATAAAGATGGATATTTACTAGATGAAGAGGGAAAAAAGAAAATTAACAAACAAGTTCTTGATAATTACCATCGAATGTTTGATAGAGTAATAGTTCAAACTATACTTACTAGCACTTTTTAAAATATAAATTATATTTTTATTTAAATTTATAAATATTTATCTACTTAGTACAATTGTACCAAGTAGAATTTTATATTCGTAAATGTCTTTAATAAAAAATACTCAATTAGAAAATTATTCTAATATTTTTAAAAAACCAAATATTGGTAATCGTTCTGATTTGATCAATGAAGAACCTGATAGTAGATTATTTTTTATATATGATGCTACTGATTCCAAAGATAAAAATAATGGATATATAATGAAATTACATGCAGTTCGATTAGATGGAAAAAAGATCAGTATTGATTTGATAATTGGTGATGTCTTTTTTGATATCAAATTAAATGATGAAGAATTGATTGATGAATATGTTGATGAGTTTGAAGCTGATAGTTATGATATTTTTGAGAAGCAACTATTTGATTCAACTGAAAGATATAAATTTATACGATTATATTTTAAAGATCATACTTTTCGTAGAACTGCACTTGAGAAGATAAAAAAAATTGAAGATGATTTAAATGAGGAATATGAAGAAGTAAAAAATTCATTAAAAGATGAAAAAGATATACGTGAACAAATTGAAGAATTTTGGAAACGTTATGATACTTATTCTGATGATCCTTCATGTCATTATCGAAAAATAGCTCGTGAAAATGATTTTGAGATAGTAGGATGGTATAGATTATTAAATCCAGATATTACACTTACTAAATTTATTAGTATAAATTTATCAGATATCGAAAAGATAAATTATAATGAACAACCAAAACTTCTCATATTATCATGGGATATTGAAACTAGTAGTACACGAGGACCAGGTTATTTTTCTGTAGGTGAACAGAAAGAAGATTATGTATATATGATACAAGTTGATCTTTACTAGTTATCTGTAAAAGAACCTATTAAACGTTATTGTTTAACTTCGATATATGTTGATAAAGAATTATTTGAAAGAACATATAAAATACTAATGAATAATTTTGAGTTTATATATTGCAAAACACAAGAAGAAATAATATTAAAATTTGCGGAAATAGTAGGAAATTACAGACCAGATATTGATTGTAGATACAATATTTTTGGATATGATTGGAATTTTATATTGAAGAAAGTGAAAATATATGAGTTAGAAGATGAATTTACACAAAGATTATTAGGTAATATTGCACCTATTAATTATAATATTAAAGAAACAAAAGTAAAGGTATTTGAGAAAAATGTTGAAGAGAAGATGGCTAAATACTCATATGCTGGTTTAAATATAAACAATCTAAATATAAAATTTAATCCAAATAAAACAATGGATTGTGAATATTATTATATATCAGGAACTATAAACATAGATTTGTTAGTATGGGCAAAAAAAACATTTCCAACTGAGATAACAAATACTTTAAATGAAGTTCTTTTGAGATGCGGTCTTAAAGGGAAAATAGATTTACTATATATTCCAGATAAAATATCTTTTAAGGAACATGATGATTTACGTTGTATGTTTATATATGTGAATGCAGTAAAATTCAAAAATCAATTTGAAATGCTAAAATGTTTAGCAGAACAATTATCAAAACTCTGTAAATTTATCAGTTACGATAGATGTTTATCAGAATTTCTTGTAGATGATGAGACACTTGAGAGATATGTAGTTGATATTGCATATTATTGTTCAGTTGATTCAATACGTTGTCAAGAATTGATGATAAAGCGAGATGTAATAGGAAACTATATATAATTTGCAAAATTAACATGTGTAACTATTTCTAATGTATTTATGAATGGTGTTGGATGTATGGTACGTAATTTTTATGGAAGATATGTATCAAAATATGATATGTTAATTTCAATGAAACGAAAAGGTATTATAGAGATTGGTAGTAAATATGAAGGAGGGTTAGTATTAGAACCAGAAGAATTTGATATTACAGATCTAGATAAATATCTGAATGAATTTTCAGAATTATTGAAGATGCCAATTAAAGATTTGATTAAGTATCTTGATATGTTAGGTATTCAGTTACCAGTTGCTGATTTGGATTTTACATCAATGTATCCTAGTGCTATAATTACACAAAATATATCTAAAGATACAAATGTTGATATCAATATACAAGATGAAGATGTGAATACTGTAACAGATAAAAGTGTTATTTATGGAAAATTTAAGAAACATGAAAATGATCCAAAAAAAATGGGATTGATGCCAATGATGTGTAGAGAATTATTATCTGAAAGAGGTGATGCAAAGAAGAATATAAAAATAAATCAGTTGAACGAAACATTACGAAAACATTTTGAATCATTATCTAATGCATTAAAAGTACTTGCAAACTCTATATATAGTGAAAATGGTTATGTATTTTCACCTCTTTATAAAAAAGAAATTTCATCATCTGTAACAGCATTTGCACGTTATTGTCTCAGATTAGTAATTAAATATGCTAAAAGTCTTGGATATATAATAATTTATAGAAATACAGATTCATTCTTCTTCATAATATTTCATTCAACTAATTTATTTTTATATTCTTCTTTGTATCACCTCTTTCAGATAATAATTCTCTACACATCATTGGCATCAATCCCATTTTTTTTGGATCATTATAATGTTTTTTAAATTTTCTATAAATAATACCTCTATCTGTTATAGTATTCACATCTTCATCTTGTATATTGATATCAACATTCGTATCTTTAGATATATTTTATGTAATTATAGCACTAGAATATATCGATATAAAATCTAAATCTGCAACTAGCAACTGAATACCTAATGTATTGAGATAATTAATTAAATCTTTAATTAGCATCTTCAATATTTCTGAATATTCATTCAAATGTTTATTAAGATCTGTAATATCAAATTCCTTTAGTTCTAATACTAATCCTTTTTCATATTTGCTACTAACTTATATAATACCTTTATGTTACATTGAAATTAACATATCATGTTTTGATACATATCTTCTATAAAAATTTCATACTATATATCCAATACTATTCATAAATATGTTAGAAATAGTTACACATATTAATTTAGCAAATTGTATGTAGTTTCCTATTATATCTCTTTTTATTATCAATTCCTGACAACATATTGAATCAACTGAACAATAATATGCAATATTAACAGCATATCTCTTAAGTATCTTATCATCTACAAGAAATTCTAATAAACATCTATCATAACTGATAAATTTACAGAGTTTAGATAATTGTTCTGCTAAATGCTTTAATATTTCAAATTGATTTTTGAATTTTACTACATTCATATATATGAATATATAACATAAATTATCATATTCTTTAAAAGATGTTTCATCTGAAATATATAATAAATCTATTTTCCCTTTAAGACCACATCTCAAAAGAACTGTATTTAAAGTATTTGTTATCTTAGTTAGAAATATTTTTTTTGCCTATACTAACAAATCTATGTTTATAGTTCCTGATATATAATAATATTCACAGTTCATTGTTTCATTTGGATTAAATTTTATATTTCAATTGTTTATATTTAGACCAGCATATGAGTATTTAGCTATCTTCTCTTCAACATTTTTCTCAAATACCTTTTTTTTTTTTTTTTTTTTTTTTTTTTTTTTTTTTTTTTTTTTAAAAAGCGAGATCTTGTCTCAATTTCTTTATTGATTTTAATATATAGGTACATTATAAATGTATTACAATATAGTATA